GTCCGGCTTCATTCGGATCTTCCGGTTCGGCTTCGATCCGGTCCTCAGCTCCGGTTTCGTTCAGCTCCTCCGTTCGGGTGGCATCGTTGGCTTGGAGAAGAAACGCCTGGCATACTGTTCTTAGTATGTTTGCTCCCCTTCTTGGCGCTATGTGTTTTAACCAAGGTCACCTCTCCGAGAAAGGTTGTTTCCCCAGGTAGGGGTTTTTCCCTGAAGTTAGGGAGGGAATAAAACCCCTTAACTAAATGCCAGGCGGGTAGTTAATCACTTTAACTATGAACAATCACGCTTAAGCTACATAATCTTTACTCCCTGGAATGGAGATAAGAAACACCCTAACCTTTGGAGTATAAATTGACAGAATTCAAATCAACTGGTATAACTTCGCAGTGAAGATGGCGTCGAGCAGTGGGACAAAAAACTTGGACTTTCGCCGCAAGTGGGACAAAGATGAATATGAGAAGCTCGCTGAGAGGCTCACGGGGGCCATCTTGGAGGTTAGTTACCACAATTTTCCAAGAGCTAAGGCTTTATGGAAATGAGAAGTGCCTCCTTCTAAAAAGACTTTTTACCTAAAATTATTATGTCTTGGTTGAAAACAGTACAATCCTTACAAACAGATTTGACTCATGCTGTTTCTTTCTGTTTGCTAGATATTACTGCAATGTCTGTGACTGTGTTGTGAAGGACTCCATCAACTTCCTGGATCACATTAATGGAAAGAAACATCAGCGAAACCTGGGCATGTCTATGCGTGTGGAACGTTCTACCTTGGATCAGGTGAAGAAACGTTTTGAAGTCAATAAGAAGAAGATGGAAGAGAAACAAAAGGATTATGATTTTGAGGAAAGGATGAAGGAGCTCAGAGAAGAAGAGGAAAAGGCCAAAGCGTACAAGAAAGAGAAACGGAAGGAGAAGAAAAGGAAGGCTGAGGAGGACTTGACATTTGAGGAGGATGATGAAATGGCAGCTGTGATGGGCTTCTCTGGCTTCGGTTTCATCAAGAAGAGTTACTGAAGCTTTCTATGCTTGGTTGGCCCTTTGCTGGGCTTAACTTTGAGTGTGGGCGGGGTCATTTTTTTGGGGGAGTACTTGGGAAAGTCCTTAAGTGGCAGTGGGGAGGGCTATAGGGTGGGTGTTTATGCTTTCCCTCGACCTTGAGAGAAAGCACAGGAGGCAGAGGTAATGCTGGGGCATATTCCTTTAGCCTCAGTGTATCACTCGCGTCACAGGCCCTCTGCCCATTGTGTTCCCAATAAAGAAAAACCTCTTCTGAGGCTGCTTTCCCAAATCTTCCCCTGCATCTTTCCCTCTTCATCTACTCCATTGACTGTGGGAGGGGCGGCCTGGAGCTCGGAGTGGCTGGGCTTCCTTCCATGTGTCCGTGTGTTTTGATGCATACTAGCTGGAGTGCCTGCCGGTGGGAAGAAGAGGGCCCTACCCCTGCCTCTGAGGAGGGGCCACCTCCTGCGTGTTTGGGCTCCACTGGCATCTCTGCTTTGCTTCCTGCCTCCCTCTCTCATCTCCCCCCCACCTCCCGACATGATCAGCGTGTGCCAGGGCCACATCATTCTGTTAACAACAGTGCTGTGTAGCCTTTGCACGAAGTTCACTAGACAGATGAGGCCTGGGCTCGTGCGGCATGGGCTTAACATGGTGAACAAAGGCTGGGAGAAAGCAGTTTTGAGAGACGTTTTCTCCTGAAACTGTTTCCTTTTATGTTTGAGCCAGTGAGTGTAACTGTCCGTGGGGGGTCGGCCACCTGCCTGCCGGTGGCCCCTTGTCAGGTTCTCTGTCCCCTACATGCTCTTTTCACTTTCAGCTCTTGCTCCCTTTGTCTCCTGTCATCTGCGGGCCTCTCGTTTAGCCATTTAATGCCCAAGAGTGGCCAAACCGCTTCAGACATCCTGGGGCCAGGGGGAGTGTCGCTTCTACGCAGGCACAGGCGGGCTCCCGGCAAACAGCCGGCCTCTTCCAGCGTCTCAGATTCCGTGGTCTTGGTTTAAAAGTTTATTTCTCTCTCTGGCCTCGCCAAAGAGCCAGCACGAACATTACTGCGCTGCAGGCAGGTCATGATGGACTTTTTGTTCAGAAGGGCGGCTCGGTGACAGTTGTGACC